CAAAATTATTGTAAATAAAAATTTAATCGAAAATATTTGTTTTAAATACATTATGCGATTTATTAAATTTGTCTGCTAACTACGAGAACAGCTTATCAACTAAAATGTGCTTAATCAATGAATCAATCGTAAAATTGTGTACATATATGCATAAAATCAATGATATAAAACGGGGGCTTTCGGATGCTGCAACGCAAAAGCAATCTCGGATAATCTCTCTCCCTCTCTCTCGCGTTTTCAACGCCATTGGCTAAGGCTAAGAAATTATAATATTTGATTAGAGAGCAGAGTACAAAATGTATTGACTTCTTATATAAAATCTTAAAAAACATGCTCTCCAGTCTTCTACATGCATTCCATAAATTGGGAATATCTGTTATAGATAGAAGACGAATAGTAGACAAGAGCAAATGATGTGATGTATGGTACTTCATCATGATATCCCTCCCGTTTCTATCTTCTTTACCCCAAAGCATCTTCACGAGTTACTCTGCAGGTGAAAATTGCAAACCCGTTTCTTCTGCTTACAAAGTAGGTATCTTTCAAGTTCTTTACATCCCTCGAAGAAGTTCTCTTTTCTAACACACAATGACGAAGAATGCGAAATAAAAGATCTAGTAGGTAATCTTCTTCACTTTGACTTTGAGAGTATGTTTGAAGGTTATTGTCTAATCTTTTATCTAACGTAGCACTAGCTTAAACAAACAATGTAATGAATAATGAGTAGTTACCTCAGGCAGGGTCCTTTAATAATCCACCATATCGAATAACGCTTGTCCCCTTAGTCTAATATAATTGCATAATTTTCACCGATCGTCTATATGGCCAAAGAAGTGCCATATTACGCCGACAACAGAGTATCTGAAAGTCCAGAAAATCAAAAAATTTTACATAAATATTCGTTATCGTTACCCTTACTCCAAATCATGTAAAAAAAAAAAAACGCTTGCATATAGAGGACAATAGACTAAGAAGATGTAAGAAAGTTATGTACGGCCATGACTGAATCTTTTATATCTATCGTCGTTATCCTGGAAATGGCTAAAAAAAAGGAAAAAAAAAAAAATTTTCGTTCTCTATAATATTGAACGGGCGGGGCTGATTTTTTCTATTCTGGGAATAAAATTGGAAATTTATATTGTGTTTTGGTTGTAACTTATGAGTAACAAGTAAAAAACAAGAAAAGCAAAGATGTTCTCAATTTTTGTCCCATATACTTGGGGGCGTTGTTGGCGTGTCCTTGAAAAGTGTGGATCATTTGCAAATTTATACATGGGAAATGTTTACACACATTTGGGTAGACGGATAGGTGGAACTAAAGCAATTATTTTTCTTTATTCCTTTCGAAAAACGGTAGCGTTCTCACTTTACCTAGTGCTGCAGACGTGTCCTTTGGCAGGTTTGGCCCATTTTCAACACCAACCTGCGTGCAAGAACTTCCAATGTTTTTACCAAATTCAAAGTTCCTAGCTTCATTTTTGTGACCAGAAGAATGTTTACAGCAGATATTACACAGACCGACGAACAAACAGACTGAAATGTTTAAATCGATTTAGAATTTGGTGTTGATCACGAATATATATACTTTATGGAGTCTATGAAGCTTCCTTCATGGGCGGTGGAAACATTTTGACAAAACGAATATACCGTTCATCCGCACCTGTACACATTAGCCTCCAAAGAAAATAGATCTATGTGATGCGAATCAATTTTTTTGCTCAATCGCTAGTATGAATTAACTTTCGTATTAAAATATTAAAAATTAATCCTCTTTCTAAAAGGTTAACTACTCGTGGGATATCTTATATATATGTATATAGTTGCACCAAAAAATAGACCAATGTGGTTCCCATTAGATCCACTTAGTTGTTTTTTTTTTTTAATTACAAATTTTCAAACAAAAAAAATAACAATTAGACTTTCTTGACATACAACGGTTTACATTTCATAAAAATCCCTACGTGCGATGGTATCCAAAAAATAAACCTACCTGGTCCAAATTCGGTAAGGTATATTTCTTTGTCAATTTGCTATTATAAGTTAATTTTTATCATGAAATAATGGAAATTCGACCTTTTCACCATATAAAGCTTCAATTTTCGTTGGAATGATTATATGAGAGAGGATTCAAAAGATTGCCCCAGCCGGTGTAATGTTTCCGTATCAATTTGGAAAGTCGAAATGCTACTATTTAGTGCTTTTTGCTGAGAAATTTTGAAAATTAAAATTTTTCTCCATATGATGACTTTCCACAATAGGGCCTTATATGAAGGGTGGACCGATCCGAACAATTTTCAATAACGTTCATCCTTGGATCATAGTTCCGCTGTGTACAGCTTGAACACAAAAATGCATGGACATCAGACGGACAGACAGACAGACAGGATCGATCGGTATAATAAAAGGTGCATCTGTCTTAAGCCCTTCAGAACGTTACATGCGCAAAATTGAATAAAATTGAGTTTTACAATTTTTACTTACGCTTGGTATTAACTAAAACGATCACAAATCTTTTTCTATAATAATAAGTCAAACATATATTTACCATATGGTAGTAAGAAATTTTAATAATAATCGGGCCAAACGATTTTTCCAATCCAAGAAATATACTCTACGACCAAAGGGTAGATAACAGGCTTATTAAAAAGGCAGCCAATGGTAAGACCGACAACAAATGGTTTTTCTTCGATTAGTGCAATTAAGGGTCCACCAGTATCACGCTACAAATGAAAATGCTACAATCTCATTAAAATCAATATTTATACATAGTGTACCTCGCAAGCGGATCCTGGATTATCGGGATCGATGGCACAGAGAATATTCTTTGACGTCTTTCTCTTACGATCGTAAAATACTTGGTATTTAGGTAAGTAATATTGTTCACATCGATATTCTGACTGTACTTTAAGAGTGGTTTTTAGGATATCTTCGGAAAACGTGCCAGCTAAAAAAAAAGTTGAAATGGTTTTAACTTTGTTCTCTTGTTTTACTGCTCATCTCAACTAACCGAAAGAAGGTTCTCTGTAGCCTAACATAATTACATCAGCACCGTTTTCTATATAAGGAACTGTCCAAAGACACGCTGCCCCTTCGAATCTCG